TCTCGCTTTTTCTACAGCCATACATCTACACGTACATGTTTCTTATATTTGTTTGAATTAAGATTGGAAATACCAAGTAATTATCAAAAGAGCATTAGTTTATTTCATCGCCTTGTACTTTTGTTGCGGTCTACTAGATGTTTGTCTCTGGTATTATGAAGTGTATGTCAGGAAGATGTCTATGGTACAATGACGTTACCATCGTCATCGCGCGGGGGTGCGGGCAGGGGGTGCGGCAGGGGGTGCGGGGCGAGCGCGGCGCGGGAGATGCTGGCGCGCCGGTTGTTGATCAGACGCACGAGGCACTCCAGCGCGGTCTGCTTGCTCTGCAGACAACAACCACTGATATTATTTTATAAACTAAAATGATACAAGCAAAGATTAACAAATTAATAAAATGTATATAATTTCGAACTTTGGCCTGAGGCCTGAGGGAAATAATTCTTTTTCTAATTTTAGTAGTACCTTGATTTCTTCTAGTAATGGCTCGAAAGCGGCAGGATCCGTGGAGTCCTTGAGCGCCTCCCAGCTCTTGTACAGCTTGCGGTCGGAGACTCTGACGGCGCCCTCCAGCTCGCGGATCTCGGTGTGGCGCAGCGTGGCGAGGTGTGTGGTCAGCTGCTTCTTGAGCGCGTGCAGTGCGCGGCGCTGCGTGCGCGTGCGCGCCACCACCTCGCGTGCTTGCCGCGCCTCGCACGCTAGCGCCGCCACCTCGCGCGCCTCCTGCTCCAGCCGCTTCTCCAGCTCGCTGTGCACGCACCACCACACACTCATAAACCAATACCCCCACAAGTTACCAAATATTTGCACCGTATTCAAATGTCACGTCACATACCTTGGGTATTCCCCCGTCACTTTCGCGTATGACTGTATGTTCCTGATGACATCCACCAGGTGATGGAGCTGGTTGCAGAATTCGGGCAGCTGCTCCGGGGTTAAGTATTGTCCACCATACCTAGCACAAGCTACACGTCACTCCACGTATACTTCATCTTATGTCATCAAGACTGACTCTGAGCAACCGACCTGAGGTCGATGTTTGCGGCGAACTGCTCCTCGTCCGCGGGCCCACAGGAGGAGGTGGCGACGGGGCTCAGAGGTGACGCCTCCACCTCCTCCTCCTCGTTTGCGCTCGCGAAACCCGCGCTGTCCGTGCTACATCTAGTTTATTGGATTAAACGATGTTACTGGATGTTATGCATCACTGGACAAATTCTACTCGTTTAATCTTATCTCTCGTGGTACAACTCACGCAGTGGAGGTGAGTGAGTAGTTATGGTCCAGGCGGTGGTGGTCTCCGCGCAGTCGGCCCAGCAGCCGGCCCAACAGCCGCGACTGCCGCCCGCCCTCCATCTCGCGCCGGCTATGCCTCTGACCCGTTGGTGATCACACTATCTATTTATCATGATGACTGCGTTATTTACTTTACACCAGTGATTCTCACATGCTAACCTGCTATGGGCCACGTATAACGGGTCCAACTAGACCCACAAAAGTTGAGGATTCACATTTAGAGAGCAATGTTGCAGCAAGTACAAGTGCAAGCAAGGGGGGTTCACCATAACAAAGTAAAATTTTCGATGGGATCTACAAAAAAAAATTGAGAACCTCTCTCTGATTATAGAAATTAAGTGTAAAGCTGCACTGCAGTATAGATTCATCTCGCTCAGTATGTTATGTTGTGCCTACGCACCCATAAGATGGTTGGTACTCATGGTTACCCATAAGAGTTAAAAACGACTGAAGTTTCAAGTTTTGGGTATTTATTTCAGAATTTAATAATAAAATTAACTCACCGGTTTTTAAAGCAATGGTTGAGTTAACAAACGGTTGATGTAATTTGATGTCCAAGTCGACTGCATTTTTATTTTCATTTTAGCGGAATTTTCTTCATTGTCGATGACATTGGAAAGTCAAAACAGGGCAGTGACATTAACCTTTTGACCGCCAAAGACAGAATTATTTACTTTTTTATTACACAGTTGTGATTGGCCAGTCAACAGCGACAGGATATAAAACGTCGTGTTTTGAACCTATTTGATTTTCGCCATTTTTGACACTTGAATAAGAATGCTGTTGCTATCTCAGTTTTTGTAAAAAGGAAGAATGCGGATTGAAATATAATAATAATTACGACAGTATTCAATTTGCCCTAAATACTTCATCAAAAAACTTACCAGCCTTTTGAAGGGCAAGGTTTAGGCCCCCTACCATCAGAGAATACTACAAATCACTGAACTGTTTCATTGATTGAGGTTTTATGAGACACATTTTGGTAAGTTTTCGTAGTCACATAACATCCTGAGAATTTCTTGCATTTTCTTCACAATTCACTACCACAAATATAGAAGATTTACTAATAGTTAATTTAGTAAGAGAAAATTGCTTAATATTTTTCTACATCGATACTTAAGGGAGGGAGGGAGGGAGTGGTTAGTAAAATGAAACACAGGAATAAAATTGAATGTATTTTATTGTAGTTCATATAAAAATATTATTAATAATATACATCGCGTAATTTGCCGGCCAAGTTATACAAAAACATTTATCAAATCAACACAACAGCTAACACTTTGCGACAATTACATTTAAGTACATCCAAGTTCAGAGGCACCCCCGGGCCGACACAAAGCTCACAAAGTGCAGGATTCACTTAACAATTTAGTGCTAAAACAGTTCAAGTGTTATCGATGCGTCAAACACACGTCAAATCTTTGTTCATAACAATATTCAATCTTAGTCAAATTTGTACGATATTTGATAAATGCACTACGCGAAGACGACATCAAATATCACACATAGAATACCAATTTTTTTGGCCTTAATTATAATTATTAAAAATGTGACAGTAAACCTAATAAGTCTAGAGTTTTGGCTCGCTTCGCCATTCCACACAAGCAGTGACCAACGATCGGTATTAAAATAAAACCTATATAGTATGCGATAAAAAGTACTTAAAGACATCGAGAGTAAATATTTAAAACGAATTGCCTTTGCGAGGAATAAAATAACCAACTCTATACTGGGCTAAAGCAAAATCACGCTGAGAAAAGTGGCCTGGGACCGGCGAAACTTATCCTTCGAACATCAGAGTTCCTCCGCGACACTAACACAAAATGAGAACATAAACGCTTACAACATCGCTCCCCATCCTCGCCCCTTCCCTGACAAACATCAAACTTAACTTGAATCCTTCAATATAACCAACGTGCCTATCGTGACGTAGAGCGGACAAAGTATCGAGCAGAGAGAAGTCGACAGCTCGCAGCTTCCAACACTGAAAATACCCTAACTAATGTACACACCTGGTCCCAGCGATGTTGTATCTAGACGCGAGGCGCGCACTTACCACAGCCCCGAGGAGAACCCGCCGGGGGGCACGCGCACGCGCCGCGGGGGCTCCGGGTTCGCAGCCGCCGGTCGGGGGGCGTCGGCCTTGGCGGGCTCGGCGACGGGCGCGGTGGGCGCTGCGGGCGCGACGGGCGCGGGGGTCTCCGTGGGGGTGACGGCGGGCGTCTCGGGCGGCGCGCAGTTGCCGTTCTGGCTGGGCGCGCTGGCGGCGGCGGCCGGCTCCGCTGCCGCCTCTACTTTTGGCGGAGCTGGAACTGATACAACATACGCATTTTAACTATCCACTTCGTTCCTTTACAATAGTGGTTAGGTTTCTCTGTGTCAGTGTAAATTCTTGATATTCCTATTAGTATATACCTGTAGCGTTAGGTCCAGGACGACGTCCGACGCGCAGAGGCTCGGGCTCGGAGCCGAAGATGTCGGTGTGTCCGCCGCCGGGGGGGCGCAGCACGCGGCTCGACACTCGCGTGTCATCAGACAGGCCAACGCTGAACGGAGTGGAAGTCATTTTCATCTGGAACATTTGTTAAAAATATATTAAATACATTTAGAATCTGTAACCTGACGGTATTGTGGTTCCTTAAAAGAGAAAATATAGATATTATAGAAACTGTTGAGAATAAACAGTTAATTATATACGCTTTTTTACTTCATCGTAAACGTGCCGTACACTCATCGAATGTTATTCCAATGTTTACTTTCGTCTGTGACTCATTACAATTCCTGTTAATAAATCTAAATCAAATAAACATGTGTAGTTTCAAAATAAACGTTTACGATTCAAAAAAATAAACATTTTTAGTGTAGTAAAATGATTATAGGTACGGAAATGTTATTTCGCATGACATTAGCGAATCGTGTCGTTTGATATCAACGATTTGAAAAGTCAATTACAACACATCTTATCTTATCTAATGACAATATATAAGCTTGTTGCAGTTCGTTGCCCGACATATTATAAATACTATATATGTTGCGCCCGGCGTTGTACGCATAAATATCATTAAATTAATATCTAGCAAAGTACAGTTACTCTGGCAATAGATTAGAATAGTAAAGTACTATTGAACCCGGAACCTAGACTCATCACGATTTGATCTAGACAGGCATTGCCGAGTTGTGATTAGTTAAAAGTTAACGCTAATAATAACAATAAACGATTAATCAAAATTTGCACGCAAACAGTTCAATGACTCTTCTCCAACACACGTATAGTATTAAATCTAAATCAACTAAATGTCTTGGTATTTTACAGTTAATTTATAATAAAAAAATATTATTAATTACTAACAAATAAAAGGATAGAAAAATAACGTTAGTTGATAGTTTGAAAAATTACTTCTTATTGTATGTTAACAAAAGACAAATAGTACTTTTTATAACCAACTTCACAAAGGAGACCATATTTAAAAAAACAACAACAAATGATACTAACTACATTATTAAATTAAATTACGCCAAGATGCAATAGGCTCAGGCGGCATCAAGAAAATTCTAGTAATAAATTCGATTAAGTAATTACTCCTGGGATTACAATCTCAAGACTTTTAGACAAGTCAGACATCCAACCACTGAGCTATCACTGACAATTGACATTGAAATGATGACATTACAACCAGAATCATTAATAAGTGATCACAAATGCCTTACTAATTTTATGCCCACACAACCAATAAACAAACAGAACAGGCATTAGTGCTGCTAGGTAATAAAAACCCCCCATTCATTATTCCCCTGACCTCCTCCCCCTTTTCTAATTTCTAATCCTGAAAAACATAAGCAAAATAGATATGGCTGCCGCCTTAATAATCTTATAATGAATTGAAAACTCAATATTTTTTGATGGCAGAATTTTCAGAAACCACTTCGACTTTTTATAAAAAAAAAAGAGTAACAAGAACAGTAGGAAATGTGGAAAAAAAATTGTTTCACAGTACGTTAGCCATTTTTTTCTACAAGCATAAGGCTGTAATAAAAATTGGATGGCCATGACTAGAATATTAATGTAGGTTCGATATCCATATCTAACCTCATAGGGGGTCATGCTTTCCCCCACAAACACCCCCAGTAGGTAGTTAGGGGGTCCTAATCGTCATTCATGTACGATACGATCGAGATAGCTAACTGGGTCAATTATCTTTTGTTATAACAAAAGTTTCAACCAAACTGTACTGTTAAGAATCAAATAAATTGATTACATATGTTGCCAAGTTTTACTTCAAAACAATAGTCAGAATGGTTTGATAAATTAAGATGTACGGGCACAGAAATACTTGCTAGTAAAGATAACAAGAAATTTATTAAGACATTTTCGCATCATATTCACTTGTACAATGGCAGTATCATTTACTTTACACACTAGTCGTATTGTAAATATTTTTGCAATTTGTCACTAATTCAATAAAAGATGAATCTCAAGTACACTATATTATGTATTGTGACTACTATATAAAACAAGTAATATTAGAGATGTATCGGCATTTATTATATAAACATCGTCGCGCCAATATGAATATGAAAGACGTCATAATATCTACATAACATTACAATCAGGGACGAGATCATTCAACTCATTATATCTAAGTTACTGTATAACAAAACGTTATTGTTTTACCTAAGCAAAGAATATTCCTTTTATAACCTTTACTAGGTGTTATCCGCGACTCCGTCTACTGCGCAATTATAAATTCAGTAAGTAGCCTATGTTTTCTTCTAGACTATGTACATGTACATCTACCCCGCCTTATCCTTAACCGTTATCATAACATACATACAAGTCATAACAAACATACAAACTTTCGCGTTTATAATATAAGATTTCTTGTCAAAATATTACTCATAGTAATTCTTCTTTACCTATTAAACGATTAAAAAGATTAGATTGAGTCCAACATTTAAATTTAACTATGACAAAGCGTTCCCTTTGTTGCGTATTTTGTACCGTTTTTTTTTGTTCTAAAACAGTTCGTTTCTGAGTAAAATGCAAACGATAGCGCACCTATGGATATGAAGCCTAAGCCGACAATGTGCAAAAACATCGATTTCACTACGACAAGAGCATTGACCGTTGCTGTACGGTGACCACACGGGGAGGGGCACGTGATTTTTGTATGGCTTACTATTAATCTAACATATGGATTTCTACGTAAAATTTTAACGCGATTGTATTTCGCGTTCCGTTTCATTAGAAATTTTGTTATTAGGCATATTATTAGTAATTACTTTACTCTGTATAAGTTTGTCACACTAGCTGTCGCCCGATACTCCGTCAGCGCCGAATTAAAAAAAACCAGTAGCCTATATATTCTTCCAGAGTATGTTCTACATCTATGACAAATTTCAGCGATATCCATGCAGCAGTTCTGAGGAAACCTTCAAAAAATCATCCATCCATACATTCGCATTTATATGAGTAAGATATAGCAGGATACGTCGGACATAGTTGAATGACAAGTCTATAGAAACAATAGCAACTGGCGACACTGCCTTTGACGCCACATCGATTGTATGTCACCAAAATTATGATAACAATAGACATGCTTCATCATATTGTATTTATATCGAATCAAAGTATAGATTTATATGGAATCAATAAATGTTAAAAGTGGAACACGCTTTATACTAAGGAAGAATACAAGGAAATATATAAAATATTGATAATTTTACTACAACCATACGACTTCAATAAACGAAAGTTATACTAATGTTATAAAGAGGAAAAATGTGATTGTTTGAAGCTACTAAAACACTTTAAAAAATCTTTCAAGGTCGGCAAGCTATTTCGCACGAACAAAGCCGTGGGCAACTTGCTAGTCATTGATATCTCTAATAAGAAGTAGAGCGTATACATACAACTACGTTATTGGTTTTTGTAGGATCTAGGAATGTTAACTGACCTTGAGTTAACATGTGTCAATACTTTATCCCATTTTAAAATTCACAAGTATCAAGAACTTTTGTGTAATCACAAACCGCTTTTATTCACGGTTTTAATAACTGTCGTTGAGTGATATTTCCCGTGAACTTGTTCTCACAGTCTTAATTAAAAATGATAACATTGGTTTTAAATGGAAGAATATAACCGTGACCGGAAATAATGTGCCATCTTGCGACAGTTACAAATTATAACGACAGAAAAGTACATTAGCTTTGCTCCAGCATAAGTAACTACTATTGGGATTGTGCCAACATGACAAGGTTGAACCTGGCTTCCAGGTTACAAGATGACATTATTTATGGAGTAAAAATTACATTAAAAACAAACATTTGCTGTACAGCACAAATAGGAGCTTAATTGGTTGTAAAACTTTTGCATCAAATTGATGCAATATTTTAATATTGTTGGAAGGGGTTGTTGTGTGGTCATTAAGAATTCTAAAAGTTTTCGATTTCCCATCGTTTATTAGCATAGTTATTAATATTTCCCTCGGGACAAGGCCTATCATTATATAAGGGCTGGCGACCACGTACAATTTGCAGGTTGGAAAAACCACAATTTGTCCTTGCTATTATTTTGTAAGGGCTGATTGAACAAGGGGTGAAACCGGTATGTTAGCAATTGCTATATTGTTAATACAAGATGTATTGGCATGGCATCCGACAAAACTAAGTTCAATGCTCTTCGTAATTTACTTAAACTCTAGCTTGATACCTACAGGAGTTCCCGAAAAAAACAGACGGACCGGACGGACAACAAAAGTGAGCCTGTACGGATTCCGTTTTTTCCTTTCGATGTACGGAACTTCAAAAAAACACTAAGAGAATGAATTCTTATACCACAGATAAAATAAGTGTTGTCACTTGCTTTTCATTTATTTTCCAAGAAATAAATCTACTAAACAAAACAAAACAGTAGGGGTAGCCAATTTAGAAATTGCTTAGAGTAACTTCACAGCTGGAATTCTTCCAAATACTTCTTCGGGGAACACCGTTAAGGCACTACTATATATTATCAACAAGATACATGAAACTAAAATAAAGATACCAAGAGACTAAGACGCCAATGTAAACGAATATGTCTCTTTCTAACAAGACAATATTGTAATTTAGCTTCATGAATGTGACCATTTTATAATGCAATACTAGAATGAAGGGGCTTGTATGCCTTATGAATAATCTCATTATGACGTGAGTATTGAATCACTAAAGAACAATCAGACTAAGACTTATATCGAGATTGATAACGTTATCTAAATAATATAGACATGTTTTACTGAGTAATGGCGGCAGTGAGCTGGACGTGGGCCGTGACTCAAAGAATAACGAGTTTCCGGTACCAAACCGCAAAACAATCCCGTCTAGACATTTCAAAGTTGATTAGTTCTTTGTTATACCACTTACTGGAATAGACAATTTACAAATTGTATACCTTTTTAATTGATTTCACATGTTTTTTTAAATATCATATTACAAGTTTGTTGACACCAGTTTGAACAGTGAGAATGTTCAAAATTCAATGTTTGTAAGAACGTTATTATCAGTTAATTTTGACAAATCTTTGTATAAGTAGTGAGATGGACTAAAATAATATTCCCACATCCACGCGATCTGGCAGAAAAGACAGTTTACTGATAAATCAAGACAATAACAATTCTGTTTAAGGGTCGATAAGAGAAATTGTGAGAAACGCATCCGGTCTAAAGCGTGGGAGATGACAAAACATTTGATAACAGTAATAATTGCTATTGAATTTCCAAAACATAGTACATAATAAGTATAATTTACTGTCTATATATGGACAGGCTATAAACCGTAGTATTTTGTGCAAATTTGATTTTCGTCATTTTGGCGCTGACGGTTACGGTTAGTAGCGATGGTGAGGAATTAAACTAATATAAATTAACTGTCTGTCGGAAATTCCACTGGCGCGTTTTATTTGGTACGAAGATATAAGAAGCATAATATGAAAACCATTAAAATATTAAAAGAAACATTTCATTCACAGATAACAAATCAAATAAAATCAACTGATATAAAAACTCTTTTGATTGGCAATTTATATCACAACAACCTCGGCATCAATCAAGGTCCGGAAATCCTAAGTCTAGGGCATACGAGAATCTAGAGTACAAAGCGGAAACAGGCACTACAATACTGTATATGGTCACTGGAATGATATTAACAAGGCACAACGACGCGCTATCGGCCAAGTGGCCATGTGTGATCACTCAGGGCTTTGTACGGCAAATGATGATACTACTGGCCGGAAATAAACTTCCCAAGTTCAGTTTATACTTTAAAACTAAATAGACATATTTTATGATTCATTGATAACAAGAATATTGCTTAGTACAAGTGATTTTTTACTTTAAGTATAGGTAATCTAAAAGGGCCATATCATTTGCCAAAAAAAGATCATTGACTTTTTCATAACGGTATTACCATGCGCTTCGTTAACGAAGCCATTTGATTAAAAATGCAATCAGACACTCCTGCAATACATAGGGGCCTGATAAATCGATTCAGTGTTTTACGAATTCATGTAAAAATGCGTCATTAAACGGTCGTAACTTTTTAATTCGAAGAAAAACAAGGTGGTGCCAACACAATATCATAGAAAAGGCAAACCAATGGCAATATTTTAGGCACATTACTAATCACAAAATGCGTATGTTAGAGAGGATTAAACTACGAAATGTCCCCAATAATCACAAGGTCAACATTATTTAATGGCACTTCTACGACCTCATTTAACGACTCATTACAAAAAATGGCACATTGACACATAAAGGTTCGCCATCCTTGTCCTAGAAGTTTTTTATTTTGTTTTTAAATGGATTCGTACAGACATAACTGTCGCCAGCGACTTCGTACGCGCGATATTAAAAAAAATTAGTAGCTTATGTGTTCTTCCAGATTATGTTCTACATCTATGCCAATCAGCGATACATGCAGACGTACTGGAGATACCTACTAAGAAACATTCATCTATCTATACATCCAAACATCTGTATTTATAAGAAGATATTATAGCCAGGTTTGAGCTACTCGCTATAAGGTAACAGAATCGCTACCTACCGCTATAACTTACGTAAGTTTAGTGCGTAGGCTGTAAATCGAGATCCTTTCTCGTTTCGCCAGCCGTATAAGTTTACAAACGTTCGTACATACCTATGTTGCTAGTCATACAAGTCGTTCGCCAAATATTTCACCAAACTTGAATATTGAGCATTTCATTTGCTAGAAACTTCTATAGCCTGACCGTTAGATTACAAGATGTACTTGACCCCAACTCTTATCTAATTTTATTATTGCGGTAGTTGTCCATGGAAGGGATTGGAAAATAGTCCAAAAGTGGGCAGACAAAGCTAAAGATGTAAAAGTTTACTTATTAAGCTTTTTAAACTCTGCGAGAACGGAGTCGTGGGCAATAGGTCGTTCAAACCAAAGTTTACAATTAACGCAAAACAGTTAACTGTAAATCGCAACGTCAACCAACATTTATATTAACGGCCAGTGACCTCTACATAATGAGAAAAAAATAACTACAACAATAACATCAGTTAGTCACACAATAACAGGATTTATTTATATGTTGAGATGAATCAATTTGTCATTCTAAATACTAGCAAACCGCCCTGGTGTTGCTTGGGAAATAGAAGAAATAATAATCTAACCAAATTAGGAGAGTTGGTTGTAAGTAAGGACTTTTTAATTTAGTGAGATTATTTCATGGATTAGTTGCTAATTTGTTTTTTTTTTAATTATATGTATGCCTTATATAATTACCAGTACATTCTCCATACCTTCTATTAACAATAGATCCTTAAACATTTATTTTCCATACAAGGTGATTAGTAAATATAACCAAGACGAAGAGCAACTCATTTCTTGTAATTTTATTTAGTAAAATAGTCATTACAGCAGTCTAACTAAAGATTTATATGTATTAAACAAATAAGTGGAAACCACAAAGCTATTTATGTCTAAACATAAAAGGAAACAAATATCTTAACAAGTTTCCTCTTTTAGAAGTCAAGTGTAGAGGCCTACAATAATGCTTAAAAACTCAAGTACCCTAGTTAAAATGGCCACCCCATAGATGCTATGTCTTGTGTAATAGATATTTATATCACTAAAGTGGCTTTCAACAAGCAGACCTGTATATTAGTTCATAAGCAGCTTTAAAAAAAAACATAATAAGTATTCTGTGTTCTACATATGTGCCTAATTTCATTAAGATCTGTTTAGCCATTACATTATTATCTTTTAAACATCCAGCAACACAAAGATAGGTGATCTTAACTAGATTATAGTTCTAATATATAGATTGATAAGAAATTAGGGCAAGGCGGTGGGAAAAAGGTGATCAACACCCATGGACATATGCAACCCAAGTGAACTGTATATGTAACGCCAGTCTGAGAAACATATGGAGTCATACAGAAAGGAGAGATTTAATTATACCTAATTCAAAAGCAATGAGATTTTAAGGAGTAGACAAAAAAAATCTATTGCCTCTATAAACAGATTGTAATTATTCAAACAAGGTAACGGTACATATTCCAGCTTGGCCCAGAACAATGAATACGCAATTACATTTTGCAAATTTGGCGCACTGTGTGGGTTTTATTGCTTCGAATAATTTGAAACAAGTTTTATGGGCAATTAAATTAAGGATAAATTAATACAAGATTTATTTTGGTATTATCATAGCCAAACAATGACCTACATCTCAACATTGGAAGCAGATGGTTTTGGTATCTAACAAAAACCAAATATGTTTAAAACCACAAACCAGATATCTACAAATTATGTACCATAAAATACAGATAAATCATATCAAAGACTACAAACCTGAAACAAAGAATACAGTAATCCCTTATTTTACTTAACAAAATGGAGTTTTTAAAATTCCCAAGTTACTCATTCAACATTTCATGATGATGATTTATACACTTTGTAATAAATATTAACAGGGAAGGATTTGTTGGTTTAAAAACAACACTTCACACATTTACTTCAATAATTTGTAGATAAAATTTTACACAAATTCACTGACAATTAAGTCGTAAGTCATCGGCTGAAGTAATTCCAACACATTTTTTTTTCCTTTTTTATTTCAATTGGTTGAATTCCTATTTCAAAAATTAAGCCAAATGTGACTACAGCCCAATTTTATTTATAGACGCACAATGTGTCTGATGAAAAATATAAAACACACAATGTTCTGAGCTTCCCATTTCCTATCTTTAGCGTTGAAATACAACAAATTGAAGAAACAATGCAAAAATTGACAATTATTTGCGGTTTATTGTAACTGTAAAATGTGATGTATCGTGCGTCAGACGGTCAATCATGCGGCAAAGTTACGATTGTCTTTGTTTAATTTAGGAAAAACCCAGAAAAATTTCTATAGGGTCAGCATATATCCAAATACGCAATAATTCCATATACCTATAAATTTAAAAGTTGAAGGATTCCAGAGCGCAATGACCTCAGAATCTTGAAAAGTAACGGCTCGCAACGTACGGTCCCGGCCGGCAATTATCTTTTTTATGCATTTTATTTCATTTGATTACTTTTCAACTGTAATTTTCTACAGAAGTTTTATTATTTGCGCAAAATTCGTTAACATTAGGAAACTTTTACTTAAATTTACAAAAAAATTAAACTAAGAACTCACCACAAAATTGTCGGCCTCTTTTCAACACAATATGGAATTGGAATGAAAATGAATGAATGTGTAAAAGAGACAAAGAGATATTTGACTGGCAGCATCAATGTTACTATAACAAAAAGTTAGAAAACTACCAGAAATGTATCAAAATCAAAACAATTTTTAATTTTGGATTTTGTTACAAAATTGTTCACTTTATACCACTGTATACTAAAAAGATCCTTATAAAAAAGCTGAAAAACGGAATTTAACTGATATGAAAAATCTAGGAAAAGCAAAGAGTATATAAAATAAATAAATGGGAAAAGCGAACTTTGCGAGTCAATCTTCAGGCTCGGGAAATTAAAAGTAATTGACTTATTGAAACTTTGCTGAGAGATTTTAATACACTGATTAAAATTACGGCTCAACTCACCTTTGCCTTGGTGTAATTACTGTAGTTCGTCTAGTTTCAGACGCAACTGTAAGTAAATCCAGTTAACTTACTTACTACTTATTCACTCTGAAGAACTTTTCATGAGTCTGTAAATAGTTGGTACCCGCAGTTTTTTGTTTTTCGTTGTCACCAAAATCTACTATTTTAGGAAAAATTGCAAATGTGAGCAACACAATTATTTCTGCTGTAAACTAGTTCGAACTAGATTTTTCGTCTAAAAATCGGAAACACCTTTTAGAGAAAGTTGGAAATTGGTTAGAGTTTAAAAATTGTCGAGATTACGGTGTAGTATTATTATTATTTTTGCTTTGTGTGCAATTGTGGCAATCTTTGATTTGTAAGTTATGAAAAGTTAACTATTTATGTTTTTTGCGATCCCTCTGTACTAATACTCTTGATGCTGAAACAGTAAAATATATTTATTTTCAAACAATCGTTGTTTATATACAATTCTAGATTTTTTGCCAATATTGGTTTTGTTAACATTTTAATACATTTTTTAATCTAGAAGATCAGTGGAACAGGTTAAGTAAATTATACTAGCAAGCACTGGCAAGCACTAGAAAGTGGCAACCCTGTCATTCATTCCTTTTTGTTCATTCGTTCGCTCATCCGTCAATTATCTATCTCTATTCGTTGTTGATTTAATTTTTGTTGGTTGTTAATATATCGTTTTGTTTCTAAATCGGCAGAAAATTCAAATATTTAAAAATGGAAGTAGCAGTTGAGGAATCTCCGAAAGACAATACAATATCAGAAAATAATATAGGCGACTGTGTAAGTTATTAGTTCACCTGAGTTTTATAAATAGCCTATATCGTATGTCGACAGAGTTCAAATAATATTCTTTCTTCTTGTAAATACATGCCTAAAGTATTAAAAATTATAATATTTCAAATAATACTTTAATGGTATAATTTCGTACAATTATTCATATAAGAAAATAATACACTTTGAAAACTTTGAAAAATAGTTAACTGGAAACAATTTTGGCTGTTTGCCAATTTTAAGAGAGTAAGATATTTATGTTACATAGTACAATTCACACGTTTTCTTCTTTTATGGTAAACCAAAGGATATCATTTATTTTCGTCGTTTATTCTTATTGGAAAGAGTTTAAACATTTACTTTGTAGACATAACAGCATAACAAAATGCAAGATGTATGCAACAACAAGTGAGGATGTCAATTATTATGAAGTATTTATTGTATTTTAGGACAAACTGGCAACCCCACCTCCTCAGGAACCGCCAAAAAAGTCAAAAAAGGAAGACAGGTCGAAAAAAGACGAAAAAAATGTAGAACAGTTCATGAAATCACTAAATTCGGTTCCCACATTAGAGGAAAAGTTCTCTCTAGTTTGTAAGAAGTACACACAGGCTGCTGACGACAATAAGAAGATGCAGTTCTATATAAAACAATCAGATAAAAGATATACTTTGCTGCAGAAAGAGAAAGAACAACTACAGCATGAGTACAATAAGACTGTTCTTGTCAAGTCTAAACTTGAGAATCTTTGCCGAGAACTACAAAAACAGAATAAAGCTATTAAGGTAATCATACATTTCTTTTTAAAATTGTTAATTAATATGCATACAAAATTTAATTAATAAAAATATTTTTTACAGGAGGAATCTCTTTTGAAAATAAGAGAAGAAGAGGAAAGACGTAAGGAGACACAGGCCAAGTTCCAGAACACACTGTCTGAGATCACGGCACTTTTGCAGCAGAACAATGAAAAGAGTGCTAAACTCCGAGATGATAATATCAGTATGACAGAGAAGTTCAAGAGTCTGATGCAGCAGCACCAGATACGAGAACAGCAGGTATGTTGAGCAAACTTGGCAAAGGTGGCTTATGTATGCAGGCATATTATAAACTACTTGTGCTACTAATGACAGGATTTGATTATAAAACAGTTATATGTTTGAATAAGTTATTCTTTAGTACTTTGTAATATTATAAAATCCATTAAGTATTCAAAATCTAGAATATAATCTTGTTGATACTAATTGATTATTCTTCATTCTGAATTTATTCAATGATAATTTCAGATAACAAAAATGACAAAACAAATGGGATTAGAATCTGAACTATCAGAGGCGAAGCTTCAGAAGGCGTCATTAGAACATCAAGCGGAGAAGGAAAGACTGGTGACGGAGATTGAGCAGATGAAGATGACATTGGCACAGTACCGTGCCAAGGTGATGGAGATGCAGACCAATGAGACTGCACTCAAAGGCCAACTAGCTGTGTACACGGACAAGTATGATGAGTTCCAGACAGCATTGGTGAAGAGCAATCAACTGTTTGGTGGCTTTAAGGAGCAAATGGATAAGGTATTTTAAATTTAGTTACTAATCTGCCGTGGGCCAGTGCCGTTGACTAAGACTTAGTCACCTCTTAACATAGGTTCCAAGCTACCAAGTCTGTGTTTGGTCTACGTAAGTACATAAAATAAAACTTCGTTTTCCAGATGTCTAAAAAGATTCAGAAGTTGGAGAAGGAGTCGCTGTCGTGGAAGAAGCGGTGGGAGACGTCTCAGACCGCGCTGCTGGACATGTGCGGGGAGCGGCAGGCCAGCGAGGAGCGCGCCGCCGCCAGCGCCCGCCAGCTGCAGCGCATGCAGGGACTCTGCCGCACGCTGCAGGTACGCTGCTCGCTGCACACTGTGTACTGCACATATTGTATGTCTCGATTGCTCGGAATTCAAAAAACTTAATAATCCTATGTGTTCATCCAGACTATGTCCAATATATATACCAAATCTTAGCATAATCCATGCAGACTTTCCATTCATCTATCAACCCGTCTATCCATCCATCCAAACATTGCATTTATAATATTAGTAATATAGTAATAAAAATGTTATGTATGTTGCAGGCGGAGCGCACCGCGCTGCTGGGCACTCTGAAGGAGCACAACATCGAGCGGCCGCCGCTGCCCGCGCCCACAGCCTCCCCTCCCGCGCCCTCCCCCGCCCACACGCCCGCGCCCACGCCCACCAACACGCCCACCAACAACAACAAGGTGATGCCAACTCTCACTTCATCTATTTACATTAATGTTCAAGTTATAAAATACTAAAATTAAGACTTGTAACTAAATAAAATAATATTAAAACTATATTTTGTGATATTTTCCAGGTGGAAGCGATGGCTGCGAATTGTGAACAGCTAAGACAGAGCTTAGCTCAGCTACAAACACAATTAGACGTGTTAACAACGGCCAAAAACGAGCCCGTCAAAGAAAAACTCAAATCTGAGAAGCAGAAAAAATCCAAATCAAAAAAGAGTAAAGCGGAGAAACAGGCACAAAAGATGGCCGCTGAAAAAATAGAAGCGAAAGAAGAGAGCGATTCCAACGCACCAAAAGAGACTACGGATGAGAATACAACTATAGAGGCAGATGAAAAAATAGAAGACAAAGTCGATGATACAGTGAATTTAATTCAAGCTGTTAATAATGTAGAAATCAAAGAAACAAACAATGAGGAAGAAATTAAAGAAAATGATGCTGTATTAATAAGTTCTAATGAAAAATTGGAAGATAAAAGTACTACAGAAGTGAATAATAAAAATTGCAATGAAGAAATTATCGGAGAAGAAAAAAATACGAGCCAAGTTGAGTTAAATGAGTTAAATTCAAACGAAGAGATTGCACATATAGAAGAAGTGAAATCTATATCGACTAAAGCCTAACCGTCAGATTGTAAATAGTATTTTCTACATGATTTTATATGAAAACTTTTTTAATATCCATTGTGGTATGTTTAATGAACTATGTGTGTTCCTACGAGGCCTAACTGTGACTTTTTTATTGATACAAGTGAAGTTTTTTTTTTACTGAATATCGAATGTGGACAGGATTATGTGCGAAATTATTACAAAAAAAAGAAATGAATCAAATGTTTTGTTTTTTTTTTCACTTTATAAAAATATGATGTGCAGATCACCTGTGTACTTTGACATTTGGCCAAAAAAAAATGGTTGCTCTAGATGAACTAAAAATACTGGTAAGAAAATCACACGAAATCTCTAGTTAAATTAAAAAATATATAACTAAACTAGACACCAACTATTGCATAAATCTGAAATAGGATTACGCCGAGAATCTAGACTTTCATTTCCTTACTAAGTTTTCTTTTTTATTTATTCGTAATACTATAAATTAGATGATTAAACTTTTTAATACTGATGAAAAAGCGACAATAAAAATTTTAATTACCTTTTTTATGAGGTAAAATTAGTAAGAGGTAGTTACTCATTCAAATCCACTGAATAACCACAGAATAAAAATAATTCCAGATTTTCACCAAAAAAAGAGAAATTACTGCTCGACCATAGAGTGCAATATTTTTGATTGTAACCCATACCATAAACAACTAAGGATGTCATCGGATTAGTGTTGGTCTCCAAAGTGTCATTGTCGTGGTTTGTTGTATTTGCAGCAATGTTGCAAATATAGTTGACTAATATTATCACGTGCCACTTACCAATCAGCTACTGGCGGTGTTGACAGAAAATAAAAACTTTTTTTTAGTCTGTCTTATTGAACTTTATGCAATTTAAGTAACGAACTGCTGAACGGTCTAAGATATTGAATTGAGATAATAGCGGGTTTCCACCCCCAAATATGTGTAGAAAGAGCTCTTCATCCCTTACTTTAAAAACAATTGAACCGAAGAATATTCTCAATACAAAAACCAGTATACATGCAAATTAGACTAAAGTTGATGATCATTCTCTCTGTCTACCCCGTTTGAACATCAAGACGTCAGAGCTTAGAAATAGAATTTATTATTTCATCCATAAATAATCGATTAAATACAATGAAATATTAAACTAATTCGAACAATAACCAGACATCTTTTATTGAATGTTTGAAGGGTATCGTCTTTTGATCGTGTTTCGATTTAACACGATTTCTTCATAATGTGATCGTCTATTTTACTCTGAGAAAGCTGTTTATTCAGATTTTTCTGTTTATGATTTAAATAAGTTTAGCAAATCCATAAATACGATAAAGACCACAAATTCTTTTGTAGGCGACCCGCGTAATCTTGTTGCAAATAGTTTTGAATGTTAATAAATTCCTTTTGTTGGCGCTTACTTTATAATTTGGAACGTAAAATATATCCAATCACATAATTAAATCTAGTAAATATAAGATCAAAAAATTTAAATCAACAATTTACTTTAAACATAGCCTTACTATGTTTAAGCCGATTACAAAACCTATCGTTAACATGACCTAAATTTTTATTGAAATCTTAATTTAAATTTGTACGTTTCGCTTGTCTGTTCGACTTCTTTTATTTTCTATGCGGCTGCTATGTAGATTAAATCGAGAAAAATGCAATTTGTTGCAACTATCGTGGACTATCGGTTCGATTTCTTTTCTCTCTTTGTGCATGATTTTACAACACGAAACCTTTCAATCCTTTCTACAGCTCCAATAATGCCGTTTACAGCTGATTTTCCATCTTTTCATAATCCGTCACGGTGTAAACTTAAAAGCGGATTTTGAATCACAACTGTTATTGATGTTTTATTTAGATAATAGAAAGTAATAAAATATGGCTTGTAATGTTGTAGTACAAGGCCTAATTCATGAATTTGTTTGAATAAAAGATGTATTTACACAAAAAAGTCCTGTAAATCAGCCAAATAATATACAGCAGTTTAATCAAGTGAGATTATATGGCAAGGAATATTCACAAACTCCTGCAAATTATAGTCTTGTAGCAACAGCTTATCAAAAACTTAAATTAAATATGAATATCTATCTGGTTGTCAATTCAAAGTGGAGTAGGGAAGTCATACCTAGTGTAGTTAAAATCTAGTTCGTTTGGTTTGTAGGCGTGTTTGTACGACACAGACCTTGACCCTGCTAAAAAAAATATAGACAATACAGGCAACCTAAATATCGACACAGTTTTGTTGATTGACTGAATCAAATATCAATAGTAAATAAATAAAAATTATTCAACAACTAAATTTATAACAATTTCCATAGCATAGTTTTTTCTGAAGTAAAAAATATTAAAACAATTTATAAGTACAGACTAAAGAATTTTTTAACAGTATCTGTTGAAAAGTTGGCACTCATTCATTTCAGTGCATCGTGTTATATGTTTTTGACGCAGCAAGAAAAAAAGCGCTAGTCATCTTCGCCAATCACAGTCAGTCATTTCTAAATTTCATCCAATCATATGTTACACAAAAGGCGGGAAAAAAGCCAACACCATACGTGATAAAACCCTCGTTCTGTTATTTAGGTTTATACTTCGATCATATAATTTAAAATAAATTATAAGGTTATTACAACTATCATCTTAATATTATAAATATAAACGTTATAGATGGATGGATGTTTTTATAACGTATAAAGCCAACAAAGTATTTTTTTAATTCCGCGCGGACGGAGTCGCGGGCAATACTTATTTATAAAGTTGCAGCCTATATTGAAGAAAATGTTATTTCGCAATTACGTTAAAAATGTAAGTCATCAATAAGCTACAAAATGATGTACAAATTGGTATTTATATATAAACAGATTGATGGTTGCGTGTCACACGCACACATGTTATGAACATACATAAAATAATAAAGGATTTTACGGGTTGTTGTTTCCGTCTAAATTCAATGTACAAATAGGTGATAGAAAATTTCCCTTGGCAGGCAAAGGCGTAACCTTATGTACGGATCCTGCACCAGTACTTTCTTCATGCGAGTCATACTTATAAAACGGTAACTATTCTATCGTACACGAGACTTTTTTTGTTTCAGAGGGTTATGCTTTAGGCATACTCCGTGCCTCAGGGAAGGCCCGGTAGTTATGTGGGATTCTCTCCCCGAATGGGAGCATACCTACTAAACCCCTCTGTTCCCTCATAGCCATAAGGTGGGACGCCACGGGATCGTGTTAACTTACCACTGCGACGCCCCACTGATCGTACACGAGACTTAATATAGTATCTCGTCTCATATCTCATGTAGAGTTTCTCTGTATATATATGTATGTAAAAACACATACATTATGTGTTTCTATTATTTATTTTTACGAATATCTGTCATAGTAATAATGCTAACTCTAAAAACATTAAATTTCGATACTCCTTTAATCAATCGATTCGAATATCGGACGTTGTGGTAACGTATTGTACTGAGTGGAACTGTTAGCTAATTGTTGCAGAGTTTTGTAATGGGCCATATTGCTTATTACGGTGTCTTTGGACAACTAAATCTAACGCGTTTATAAACCTTTTACTTTTGACAAACTTTGAAATAAATCAAATCTGAATGTAAGAGAGTTTAAACTCTATTCAAGTTCAGTTATGTTTTTTTAAAACTGAATCCTAAATATAATAAACAGCAGGCTTTTATAAAACAGGATATAAAAACAGACCTAAAAAGATGGTCTTGCAAGTCTCAACATTTAGTTTCGTAACTACATCTGGAACTTCCGAGTGTTATGGTAATACAGCTGCCCTAAAAATCTAGAGGGAGAAACTTTATAAAAGAGCAGATAAGGCACACATATCATAGAATCTAAGTTTAACTTAGGCACGTCTAAGTTAAGCTTTGCTCTAATCAAGATAATTAAAAGCTTTAGCATTTTCTGTATAGTTCATCATACAAGTCTCCTATGTATTTAATAATTTTGACTTTACTATAAACTATGTCTCTAATAATAATTCCAACTACCGGATGTCTGTTACAATAAAGGTAATTTTAAAATGGTGATGAAAGATCGGTCAGAATTCGAATTCTAAAAATATCAAAACAATAAATTGTAACATAATTCATCCTATTTCGTGACTGGACGTAACAGAAGAATCTATTGTCTTCCTTTTCGTAGTGAAGTTGTGCACAATCACTGGGCAGCGTTCACCGCGATTTGGACAGCGGCTATAAATACAAGAGTTGGTTGTTTCAGTGGTACATTGCTTCAGAGCGGGCACAGGGGCGCCACCACACCCCGAACCTAAAACAAAAATATATTAAACAATTTGTGAACGTACTGGCAGGTTAGGACCATAGAGTGATTTTATTTTTAAATTTTCCCGCCAATTTTTGACATGTTAAAAATCGATTTTTATGTTATCGATTCGTGATTCGATTAAATTTTCCTAATTTTGGGAGATCAGTGTTTAATGTTTAATTGACGTGATTTCAGTTGGACTGGCGGCAATATGAAGGCTTTCCAAGCAGTTTTGTTTTGCGTGGGTAAGTACTACAGGATTTTAGTAATGTTTATACATTAAGTTTGTTCTAAAAACGATTTCATCAAAATCGAATTTATTTAAATACTTCTATAAAATTATTTTCATAAGTAAACTACAATTTGATTCTATTAGAATTCCACTTAAATTAAAAATGTAGTAATAATAAGATTTTGAGATTTCACTCGACTTCAGGATACATCCAACAAAATCTGACTAATATTTAATCGAATAAACGAAAAAAAAATTGCTAATTACGTAAACGATTCAATAGCATTGGATGAAATTATTGTGAAAATAGGATGCTTAGGCGAGGCTTTCCGTCGTAATCTTGAGCTTGTAATAAAAGTAAGGCTTTTTAACAAGTGACAAACGATTAAATCTTATCTCACTGAAGTTTGTAAACCCTAATCTATCTACGTAGTTAATTTACAGAATAAATATTTTCTGAAAATCGTAACATTTGCTCTAAATATTATCCTACATCTCGTGAAAGTTTTTTTTATAAACCAACCAACGTTAACTTTTTTTAACTCATAATTTGCAATAGTAGACAAGTCATATGAATACATAATTCGGAACTAACACGTAAATAAAGGTTACGCTACAAACGGAAGTAAGGATTCTATGAAACGTAATATTTTTTTGTTTCATCGAACATATTCGCGTGATTGGCAATGTTAAATCAAACGATAAGTTATGTTAAGTTAAACGTAACCGTTTTACCACAGTTAATGCATACGTAACTTAACTTTAAATCGAACATAATTTTCATAGGTATTTATTTAATGGTTGTTTTTTTTCAGTGATTTTAAAAGGTCCTAAAACGTTTAAAAGTCTCGTTCTATCTATATTTTACCAACTGTCACCTGTTTTTGATAAGCTTATTCCAAATTTTAAAATATTTAAATATTGGCCTAATAAACTGTTTAATCACCCAGGTACCCTCTCCATTGCATCATCAGCGCCAGCAAACAGAGACTCGTCTGCACAGCCTTCAGAATATAACTACGACTATGACAACTCAGCTCAGCCCGCCAAAGGCGAGGACCCAGCACAAGCCGCGAGCCACTACGATGCGTACATCGCCGACGTGCAGGCCGCTGCCTCCGGGGGCACGGCTAAGAAGGGCTACAGCAGCGGCAGTGGGCTCAGAACTATAGCAGTTGGCTCCGCTAATCAAGCGAAAACGGCTCTCGGAAACCAGGTCGCGGCGGCTTATCAAGCAGCTTATGTAGCAAAGAACACATTAGCTCAGTCAGCGGCTCAGGCGAGTGCGACGGCGCAGGCGGCGCTCGCCGGCAAGCAGGTCATCCTGTCCGGTCTCGAGCAGCAAGTGCGGGATGCGAAGGTCGGTTTGCAGGGCGAGGAGATGCAGCTGCAGCAGGCAAAGAGAGCTGCGCAGGCCGCAGCACAAGCAGCGCAGCAAGCCATGCACCAGGTACTTTCTTTTATTTTTAATTGAATTCTTCAAGTAATGGACTCTCATAGTTTCTCCCTTCAAGTACAGTCGAAAGCCTTTGATTTCATACTATTTGAGATCTGGACACAAAAGTATGTTACATTTTTCAGTTGTTTTTTTTAGGTTTATCTTAGTGCCTGTTAAAAACCTTATTGAAAAACGAAAGATTTCAAATAGAAAAGGTGTAGTTGAAAAAATCACACCAAACTAGTCATCAATATTGCGTAGTAGAGGTCGTCAGGATTGCGTAAATCGCGGCGCCGCGCCGTAACAAAAATGAAAAATAAAATTTTCTTGAAAGTCAATTATTTACGTAAGCTTCGCGAGGAAGTATTTATTTGATTTTCACTGAAATTAAAATGCTGTTATGTGATAATACACAAATAATTTATGTAACTGTTATCAAGAACTTTAAGATATTAGATACGTCCCTGGAGTTATTTTAATCTTATAAATTAATCAGTAATATTTATGGTATACAAAAATATTCTTACTTGTTTTTAATTTTTGTCTATGGTTTTTTAAATTCGTTTAAAGTTTTTTGAATTTTAAAAATAAAAAACAATCACTCTGGAGCCTTGAATTTTATAAAATATCTTAACATTTTATTCGTTTGATATAAAGCAGGTCAAGATTTATAGAAGCGTGACAGTTATTAAAGAAATATAATTAGTTTTTTTTAACGTTCTCATTTTGGACAATAGCTAATCAATTTGCAATCAGCCGGGCGGTTGCTACACGTATTGACCGAAGCTGCGGAAAAACTGCTCGCCTCGTAGTTTTGCGAAACTGAGTTGAGAAAGATCTTGAAAAAGATCTGTATCTGATGAAATTATTGATACTTGGTTACTGATAAACAAAATTTTGTCACAATAAATAAATGAAATACTTAGATATTAGTAAAAGTAATAGAAAGTTCAACTAGAACGTAGGTCCAAGAATTTATGTAGATTACAAGTGACATAGATCTCATGTGACAGCTGACAAAGATTTTATGTGCGCGCCAACTTTTGATATGAATAATCAAATCTATAAGGTTCGAAATATAAATGCGGATAGTTGTATATCAATAGGTCTAAAAAGACGTTGAGTTGTAAAGCTTCTTGTCGGTGCATGCGTTGTCGTTTCGTGACGTAATACTTTTCCTTGTCACTCGTCATGCTCCAGTTGGCATGTCACTAGCCTAACCAGACACACAGCTGATTGTAAATAACAGTTATTAGAGCAATTGTGAACTTGACCCAAAGGAAGTTGAAGAATAGATTTCCATTTTTTACCATTAAAATCTTCAGAATAGATAGCAAAAAGCTTACTGAAAATAATTACGAGACCAAACTATTGATGTTTATTTAATATTGTGTGTGGCAGGATTTTATCTGGCCATCAGTATGGACAAATTATTGCATTAAGTAATATTTATGATTGTTCAGGTGAACGTGATCCAAGCGGCGCTGAACGCGGCGCAGGCGACGTCGGAGAACGCGAACGAGGCGGCGTCGCAGGCGGCCGGCGAGCTGGGCGCGCAGACCGCCATGGTGGGCGCGGCGCGACAGCGGTTGCACGCGCTGCAGGAACAGCTGCACGGAGTGCGCATTGACTTTGAGGCCACGCAGGCTGCAGCGAGGAAGGCACAGGTAACGTACACACGGCACATCTATACTAAACAAATGATGGCCTGTACACGGGAGAGGGGGGGGGGGCAAATAATCTTTGAAAACTCGGCCTGTTACTATAATAGAATACCCGCCAGCGAATTTTCATTTTTATGTAGTTACTTTCAACTTAATTTAATTGGCAACGTTTACATAAACAGGAAACGAAGGATGCCAAGATATACATATTTGAAGATATAAAGATTTCCTTGGTCTATTAGAAGATTAAAAAAACAACTTCGTCGTCGTCAAGATCTGTCGTAACTTAAAACTCAAAAGTCTAAATAAAGTCTTCAAGTTTTATAAACATGTTTCTCTTCCTTCTTTCTTATCACTTTGTGGCATTGTTAACTGCAAATTAGGACTTTAAAGACATAATTAATGTCTATGGTTCGTTAACTTTTTAAATTGCAGGCTGCGGCACAACAAGCGCAAGCTAACGCAGCGGCGGCGGCGGCGAAGGCCGCAGCAGCGGGCCTGGCCTCCGGCAAGCAGCAGGACGCCTCGCACGAAGGTACGAGCCGCGAGGAGCAAAGGGCCGCGCCCGAACAGGGCCAGGACTATTACCACCAGTCTGACTACCAACACCAGTAACAAACACGTTTTAGGTAAACATATTTGAAATTTAGCGTATTGTGTTTGTTTTATACATATTTTGAAACCGATTTCAAATATTACGCAACTTATTTTAATTCATTTTCTTAAACGATAAAATAATCGATGTTTCGGTGTTAATTTTGAATATGACGTTTGATGTTATAGAGTTGCCAGAGTCGAATAATTAAATTAACCAAAAAAAAATACAATACTCCTAAATTTCAAATATTTTAAAGGCTAGTATTATAATTGAAAAGTAAAGATTAACCTAATTAAAATCAATTATATTTAGCGTTTTATACTTTTACAAAAACTTTACGTCAATTGTAATACTGGCTATAGTTTTTAAGTTTTTTCACAAATTGTAAATAAGGTTTTTTAGTGTTGCTAGAATAGAAAATGTTTCTTAAGTTCTTGATTTACGATACAAACTAATATTTATTACGATTAATTAACGTTTTCCATTTTTATACAACAAAAAAAGTTTGGAAAAGAACGAATTAAGGAAATACAACTAACTGGCAAGATTAAGTGTGATGTCACATAATCGAGTGTGTTCAGTAAGAGTAAAAAGAAATAATATTTTTGAAATAAAATTGTTATTGTTTTTACACTTCTTTTGTTTTGTTTAAACATGACTGATGTTGACTGTTGACTTGCGACCTTCCGACTCATTTGACATCCCACTTAAGTTATTGACTCGACTAACCCCCTCACCTAATTGTTGCCAGATTTAAGCTATTCTCTACGATTAAAAAGACAATCTACAATGTCTTTAAAACTACGGCAGTTACACAGATTAAAATTATTTTGACTTTTAATACAGATTAAACAGTAGATATTAGTAAATCACTTCCAGGTATTATAGTTATGCCGCACATACTTGATACTTAAGCACAACTATCTAAATGAATGAATCGCACTAATGCATGTTTCGGTCAGGTTCAACTAGCAACAACTACAAGTTCAAAATATAATTTATATCGTCTATTTTTACTAAGACTATAACATTTTTATGAGATTTACGTGAAATAGTGATCGTCTGATTAGCAATAAAACAAAAATAAGAAATGAAAAAGGCAAATCGCATAGAAATTTATAATAAAACTTAGTGTACACGTGTTTTATAAAATAGTCTCTATCTCTCAGTATTCACCAGATTACAAATAAACTGTGCATGCAATAAAAAATTTTAAGATGTTTTTTCAAGTTTTCACGTACTTTATAAATATGTAAAAAAAAAAACAAGAGTTGAAGGTGTGTCCTCGCCAACTTACGAATCGATACGATTCGTTAAGCGAGTGCTTTCTATTTCAGAGACGTCAGCATCACTGGAGCTTCAATCTGAACCGGCCAGCGAAAAGCCAATTTATCTACCTTTATATCAAGCTAAATGGCACCAAAAAGAACCGCCACAAACATCAAACAAAGCACAAAAACCTTTGATTCTAGATCTTTCTTCGTCGTCTAAATTAAAACAAATAAATTCAAATAATTCATTAAGCTTTCACATTCTGCCATCTAATTTTATACCCGTTAAGTCATATCCGGTACTTACAAAGTTACCGATATCAAGTTATGTTAAGTTATTAGACACAAATTCGGATTTACAAAGGTTAAGACCATTTAGTTCATAAGATTTAAAGACTTAATTTTTAAAACTAGTTAGCGATTAAACCAAAGAAAGTAATTAAATAAAATTTCATTGTTAACTATAGGCGATTTATAACAAAGATAAGAAACAATAAATAATTTAATTGATGTTTTTATGCACGTTTGAAACCAATTTATGTTTCCCTGTTTAATTTCTTTAACTCGGTAACATCATCTTTGCTTTATTCAAGACTTACTTAATAGGGTTGTGCAGTATGGGAAATAATTTTAACTCGGATTTCTATCGATAAATTGACAATATATTAAATAAACACGGTAGTTTAACACGTATTTTTGTAGATTTGAATCGTAACAAAATAATTTACAGACAAACACAATATCTATAGATCAGTAGTCTTCGCTATAACGCACGGTAACACAAACATTGCCTATGAAGAAAGTTTTATTTCCAGAATTGGCTAATGACGAGCCAGTGGAGGCGGAGGAGGAAGAGGAAGAAGAAGACGAAGAGGAAGACTGCGATGAAAAATAAGAAATCAGTTTACCGCCTGTGCAATGCCATTAATTTTGTTATATATTTTTAAGTACATGTTATAATAATTTTGTTATTTTATTTTTATGAATAGTAACAAGTCTTTTGTATTTAATGATATTTGAACTCTTAAAATGTTGATTTTCTTCATGTGTACGATATTTTTGAATTCAACACTGGATTCAATAATGACTTTGTGACTAACCATATAAAAATAAATAAAGTAACGAGTAAAGTAAATGAAACAACCAACTTCCTTCATTATACATAATAATAAAAGTTTTGAGAAAACAAGTTTTAATTACGAAAAATGAATACAACGATAACTCTCAAACAGTTGTGGCTGAAAGTCGAAAGCTTTTGCTTTTTTTGACATTTACATAACATCTGTTGACCAACATCACGTTGACGTTGACAAGTCTTTTCTACTTTGACGTGTGTACGTCGGACATGCTTTGAGTATACTTAGAATATTCTTTTCAAATATGTCTCTCATTAAAAAGAAAAAGCATGTCTCCAAAAAGAATAAGAAAGCGTGGCGTAAGCACTGTGATATTAAGGATGTAGAGGACTTTCTGGAAGATCAGCGCTTAGAAGAAAGGCTTGGGTAAGGTTATGTTTATGTACTTAGGTTATATTTGTGGTCACATAATCAGTTTCTCTAGTTTCGATCACCTCAAATTACTAAAACCAAAGAAGTCATCGAAGTGACTAAATCTTCCTAAGTTTAATGCAAATATTAAAAGTGAATATTTTGAATATCTGGCAATCATCGCAATCTAACTAACATTATAAAACAATATATAAGGGGAAGTATCGCAGCAATTAATATTTTTTGCACTAGGAATATATTATTCTATATCGAGATTATGATTCTTTCAGTAAATTTGAAGCTAAAACAGACTCTGAACTTTTCGTGGTGGACACGGTAGGTGAGGAGAAACCAGAGGTGGTTGATGTGAAGCCGCTGACACTGAAGCAAAAGAAGAGAGCCCTCCTCCCAGTGACACCCAAATGTTATGAAGTCTTACTTTCTACTTCTAAGGTTAATTAACTTTGAAAATAAGTTTTCATTGTCTATGGCTATTTTAATATAATCTACAAGTCTATTGCTTGCTATAGACTTATCTAAAGAACCATTTATTACACAAAACTTACTATTTACTCAAATTGCAAATGTGTAATTTCAAAACTGTAACATTTGTCCTATTAACTTGATTGTAAGTGGCTACAAGTAATAAAACTGTAAAATTGTTAATTATTTTGTATTAGGTCCAAGATCCGAATGCCAAACGTAACTACGTCAATCCAGTGGGGACCAAACCAACAGCTTTGAGCAAACTCTCTCTAAAGAAACAATTTGAAAAGGGAGCTTATTTGAAGAAAGTTGAGTTAGCTCGTAAGAATAGAAGAATTGTAAGAGATAAGAAGAGAAGGATAAAACAAATAAGAAACACATTTGATAAAAACATATGGGGAGAGGATTGTAAGTATCTGTACTTTGTTGTACATTAATAAAAATGAAAATTTAGTAAATATAATACAGTAAAAAGGCTTAAGAAGATAAATTAAACATGAGTTTATTCTTAAGTAAGAAATTAGTAAGAGATAGATAAAAATAGCTTCCTACTAAGATCAGCATATTTAAGTAAGTACAGTCTACGTAACATAATAATTTTCTAATTCATAGTGCCCGAGGTAAAAGGCATTCCTTCCACTCTATGCGATGACTTCATATCAACGGAGGCACAGCTGCACAATGTATTACCTGAGCAACGTCTGCGTCCTAAGCCAGCACCACCCAAGACTGTGGTCACCCGGCCTGCTGTTGTCACCCCACATCCCGGTGTCAGCTACAATCCTTCGTACCAGGTAAAGTTTCGTATTTCGTATTCCTGTTATTAAAGATGAAACGCAATTAAAGTAATTGGATAAGCCTACGTCGAAAGGATCATGATATTTTTTTCTCTTATAGGAGTTTCTTGCTTATTGATTTTATGTCAATTTATGTTGTTGTATAGAAAATATTGTTTTGTTGTGCAGGAGCATCAAGACCTGCTGCAGCAGGTGGTGCAGCACGAAGAGAAACTGATGAAGAAGGAGGCGCATCTGCATCGCGTCACCACTAGCATGTTCAGCAGGCTCACACCAAACGAGAAAGAGGTCCTTAACATATTTAATTATTACATATCGGTAGAGGATGGAATTGTTATCTTATCTTACTAATATTATAAATCTGAATATTTGGATAGATGGATGGACGGATGGATGTTAGTTAGAAGGTGTCTTCAGAACAACTCAACTTATCTTGATTAAATTTGACATAGATGTAGAACATAGTCTGTCTATTTATTAAGTTTGTTTTTAATTCCACACGGAGGAGGCATGGGCGACAACTAATATCATATAACTTATATTTCTAGAATCAATGGCGCGAGGAGATGAGCGAGGGATTGCCGAAGCCACACAACCCGGCTAATGCACCCTCAACACCCTCGGATGATGACACAGACAATGAGTACAAGGCCATCAACCCTCCCGTCAAGAACAAGAAGAAAGATCACAAGGCGAGGAGGAAACAGAAGGAGAGGATAGCAGAGAAGGAGAGGCTAAAGAGGGAAAAGATTGATAAGAAGAAGATTACTGATATTTATAAGTAAGTTTACACAAATTATACTCAAATATATCTTTCATGTTGTTTAACTTATGTACTATTTATATTAAACAGAGCACTTGAAGGCGACAAATTTCTATATACTTTACGTTGAAAATTCTGTCCTTACTATGTCAATTTATTTTAAATAATTTATGTTATATGTTTTTAACAATATGTAAATGTCCTCTGTCACAGGTTACGTAAGCTACAAACATCGATATCAGGTAAAGAGAAACGCGAAGCAGAGCTGAGAGTGAAGCGAGCTGGTCGCCGCGCTCTGCTCGCCGCCACCGCGCCGCCCGCACTCAACGCGCACAAGACTCCCGCTCCTCAGCCTGACCTCGTGGAGCCCTCACACCTCTCCGGGGACCTCAGGAACATCACCTCCACTGGTAACACACACAAAGAATGCCTGCACTAAACTCTCACTCTCATACTTACTGTGACTTTATCATATTGATGTACACTTTGTATTGACTTTATATTTAGATAGATGGCGTTGTTACACATCAGATTCTTTTTCTAGTATAAATTAAAATATCTACTTGGATTCTTAATTTTTGAAGGTTATTTTATGTATTTATTTAAATATTCTTTAACCTTATTTCAGGGAATCTTCTCCGCGATCGTTTCGAATCGTTACAACGTCGCGGTGCTCTCGCCGCGTCCAAGCTGATGATGACGAAGAAGAAGAGATTGAAAGCTTACTTCAAACCTGGTCACAAGGTCACAGAGAAGGACGTTGAGAACTATCTGCAGAAGAAAATGGTAAAGAAGACAAATAAGAAGGCAGTCGTCACCAAATGACAGCTCAAATAAATAATTTAAACTAAACTAATTTATTTGTTTTAATTACCTATTTATCCAATATTTCCTAACTTTTGTGGCGCAAAAGCCAGGGAGCTAAATCTCGCACTGGGATTGGCTCCCGCGTTTTCCCGCGACACAGACAGAGCGGGAACAGAATTTGTAAAATATAAAAGACTGATGAGATTGAATTAATTGTAATACCGTGTCTTTTTTATTTAATATATTTCTTGCATAGTAATATTTTGTTTTATTATCGTTGCTGATATCAACGCAGTCAACATAGTGACATTACGTTCATGGGTATCCGTTTACCAAACTAAGAAAACCCATACTTTAAATCTTACTAATGTTATAAATGCGAATGTTTGGATGGATGGATGTTTGTTTAAAGGCTAGAACGGGTGTATGGATCTCGCTGAAATGTGACACAGATGTAGGACATAGTCTGGAAGAACACATAGCCTACTAGTTAAGTATTTTTAATTCCGTGCGGACAGAGTCGCGGGCTACAGCTATTTGTTTCAATAAAAAACAATTTTTTATAAAAAAAAGTTTATTACAAAATGACTTACGTAACTATTCTTAATTAATCTTAATGTTCTCTTAATTATTTAACATTATATAAAGTAATTGGCAGTTACAATAATTTTTTATATAAAAGACTAAATAGTAGGTAACTCAACTGTCACAAGAAAATGTTAAAATATTTAAATTATAATAATCGCTTAATTACAACAAAATTATAATAAATTAACTTCAATATGTACTTAATTGGATTTTAAATTTATAAAAATACATTCGTTATTTCTAACTGATTTTATACTTTCTCTATGCAAGACTTAACTTAAAAAGATGCTAAAATTACTAACCATGTTTATTTTAACATCATACATTATTGCTGTCTTTTATTTTAATACACATAACCGCATAATAAGCCGCTCTGAAACTAGTGTTCGCGCACACTTTTTCAATAGATGACTCTAAAAACATTATATTTAAAATATTGCAATTTTTACATATTAACAATTTCAGAGAGGCAAAGTATTTCTATCATTCTTTTTTGTGTTTTTGAATAGTGTTCTTTTTAAACTAAATTATATTAAAATATCTCAATTATTGGCTACTTTCTGTGTTTTTACATGTGTTTTAAATATAACTATCAACGATAAAATGCTATTTTTTAAAATGAGCAAAGAGAAGCTCATTATCTACGTAAATATATGAGAAAAAACTAATTGTTCATAGATAAAAGGCAAGAAATTAGAAAAAAGATAATTTTTTAATTATAAAGTAGTCTTAACCTTCATTTACTTTGTTTTTTCAACCCCATCTAGCGGCGATAGTGTAAAGCGATCTTAACAATTCAAGTGCTCTTGTATCGGATGTACCTTTTACATTTACAGGTCGGGAGGCAACTCTAGCTTGAGCTGATGGCCAGTTAATTGCTGGATTAGCATTTTCTGGTATAGTCTTGGCGGCAGTATTTTTGATACTTTTACGAACACTTACAGTAGTCGGAATTGGCGTAGTTGGTGTTTCAGTTTCATCAGTTTTAAAGCTTTCAGTAGTTGTAGATTGCGATAAAGAATTAATAGCACTAGCATCAAACTTTAAACTTTTGCCTCTTCTATCACTTTCGATGTTCTCTGGGTAACTGTCCATTCGTCTTCTGAATACTGTCGTTTTCACGTAATCATATTCAGGCGTCGTATTAGGAGTCTCCGTCGCTTGCTCTTTAGCCACTTCTTCCATATCTTTTTGAGAAACGGCCATTAAAGCCTCAAGTAGAGCCTTCTTAGAGGCTTCAGCGGTGGAATTGTGGTCATCATCACATGTCTGAATTAACAGTAAAATAAGCCTCTTGACAGTTTTTGATTTTGTTTTCATCATAACGTTCATTAGTTTCTCCGTTGTCGTCGCATTCATGCCTCCCATGATTTCCTTTGCTTGTTCAACAACGGTATCTGTAGTTATTTCTTGAGGAGTGTTAGTGGTAGAATCTTTAAGAAGTCTACCATATCTCTCTTGGGTTCTCCCGCTAAGCGTTGCGAGACTGTCAGCGATAGTTGTTGACGGTTCACTTGTTTCTTGTTCAGGTTCTTGAGTCGTAACTGTAGTCAGTGACCAGGAACTTGTTTGCTGTTCATGATCAGAGTTGTTGTGGTCACCGCCTGTTGAGCTTAGACCGTCATTAAGAGTCATAGGATCAAGCATAATTGTACTTTGCCAATTTTCATATGTTGTAGGTAACTGGTAGGTAGTTCTGGCGTCGTCTGGAGAAGTGAATATATTTGAAATAGAGGATATGGTAGGTAAAGATTCCGGTTGGTCTTTCATAGTTGTTGTAGGATCTGTTGTTGTTAGGAATGTAGTCGTCTCTATGCCAGATGTTGTCGGTGCCTCCAAGTTTTCGGATGGTTTTTTCACATTCCCTTTTGTTTCAGCGTAATTGAGTTGTTTCCCTTGTCTAACATTGTTACCTTGGGGTGCAATAAATGACTGACTGTGAGCTCTTTGCAGTTCTTCCTCGTTGTCCAATTCAAAACTTTCCGTTTCAGTAAAGTATACAGGCGTGGTTTCTGGGAATACGCCGGTATATTTAATTCTTTTACTTTCAAAAATATTGCCTTTTGTCGACGGCGCTAAAGTAGCGTCTATTCCCCAAGCCGAAGGTAACTTTGTTATTTCAGCGTAATCATCATATGATTCTGTATTTTTGCCGTTTTCCTGATATTTATTGTTTTGGAATCCACCGAATCTTTGTATCCTATCGTTGCTCTCCGTGGTTGAAATAATATTCTCTTCGAGCTTGTTTGACAATGTATTAATTTGAACGGCGGCAGTATTTGTAAATGGACTTGATGTTGTAAAAGGTTCTTTTGATGGCGCAGCAGTAGTGTATGACGCTGATATTCTGCCGCAGCATCTGAAGGGAGTCCTGATTGTAGTAGTCGTAGATGGAGTAGTTACAAAATCTGTTGTAGTTGGTGTCGGTGTAGTCGTTGGGTAGTTTGTAGTAGTAAGTTCAGCGCTTGTTTTAATAGCTTTTCCTTGTCTTAATGAAACCGAGGGAATATTTCCTTTGTGTTCATCAGAAAATCCAAGTATTTCTTGGTCATCTTCATTTATAGTTGTTGTAGGTTCAGTGTTATATAACAGTTCATCCGTTGTCAACATATCTCTAAAGTTAGGCGGCGTTGGCCTTATGTCTGATAACACCTTTCTAAATTGGACTGGATCTTGAAGATATGCAGATAGAGCGTGTGTAAATACCTGGGCCAATTCTCTAATTTGCGGCGACGCGGCAAGCGGGTTCTGACTCATTTGTGTAGAGAGGTCATCCACAAGTTCGTTATAAGTAGTATTAGGGTCAAGTTTCATATCTTCTCGTAGATCTACATCGTTAGTTCCATGCCCAAACAGACTACTATATTTGTTAACAGTATGCTGACTAAATAATGCCGGCAGACCGTCTTCTACGGTTTCGTATTCATCAAATGTTGTGGTTGTACTTTCTTCATCTTCCGGTGTTGCTGTTGTTGCAAAATTATCCAATCCAGTGGCGTAGTAAATGGCGAGAGAGTGGAGGGTTTTAGGTGTAAGTGAAGTTGGTACTATGAGTCCTGGTCTATTCGGCAAATTGCCGTAATATTTCTCTGTCAGGGTCGCTTTGAATGTCGGCTCTGTTGGTCCGAACGCTTCGAAGTTAAGTTTACTTATCAACCTTTCTCTACGTTCTTGATACGACGGTTCAGTTGTTTCTGGAACAAAATTTGTAGTATATGAGTTGACTCTATCCGATGAAGATGATTCAATATAGTCAGCATCTTCACGCGTCACGTCTGGTACTTTGGTAACAGACTCAAAGCTGCTCTTGGATTCAATAGTAAGTTTCTTATCTTCCGGTTTGATGTTTGGTTTGTTTGTGGTAGTAGAAGCCTCGACGTACTTTTCAGTTGTAGTCGCTTTAGCTAATGTTTTGTTTTTTTCTTTCTCAAGGAAGTCTTTCAAAGAAGATATGCCGGGTCTAGTATAAGGTTCTTGATTGTAATTTATCTCGGTATAGCTTTTACTATATGGAGCAGAAGTTACTGGTTTTGTTGTTGGTTTTTGTGTCGTTTCCGGTAAATACTTATCTCTTAAGTTATATAAAGTAGTTAGACTCGAATTTGCTTTCGTTTTCTCCGGTGCAGACGTTAGGTTTGGAGTATAAACTGGGTAAGGACGATAAGTCTTGTTGTAGTCCTGTAGATACTGTCGGTTCTGGTTGCGTGCGAACGAAGCCGTTTCTGCAGCGACCTGCATTTCCTTTAAACCTATGAAATTACGTCTTGTAGAATATTCAAATATCGGTACGGTCGTTTTTTTTGGAACATTACCAAAGTTATTAGCTATGAGCTGTACCAAATTCCTTTGTTTGCTTTCAAATGGTGTGGTGCCTTGAGTTTTCTGAGTAGGATTAGGTTCTGGGTAGAGAGTTTGGAATCTCCTTGATGCTTTAAAGCCGCTAGGTGGGATGTCAGCTGGATATTTTTGATGTCTCAGTAGTTTTTCTGTAGTATTTGGAACAACAGGTGCACGTTTTGGTTCAGGTCTGATACTGGACTCGCCGATGTGCTGCAGGTCAGGTACTTTGATTGGACTGGGGGTCACCCTCTGTGTCTTCTTCTGCTCGTTGGAGTAGTACTCTGCGCTTGACTCATAGAGGGCTGGGGCAGAGGCGCAGTCCACCTTGAACCACCAGTCACAGATCAGGTGCGACTGGCTGAAGATGGTACCATTAGGGCACAGGAACGAGATCTTGCGCGAAGTGTCGCAGATGTGAAATACCTGGAACGTGCGGATTTTATTATTTAAAATAAGTTCTTTTTTTAACAAGATGGTCTTTTTATTCTAACTGTAATTTTTCGTAAGTAACGTTACCTGGCAATCGGTTTCTAAGTCGGCATAGTATCCAGTGGGCACGTTCTTGCAGTTGAATCCTGTGTTGGGAATGCTCGGGAACGCCGGGAAGTCTACTCCAGCGCG